TCTGTTTGATCTGACAGGTGGCGTCTGTTTGATCTGACAGGTGGTGTTTGTTTGATCTGACAGGTGGTGTCTGTTTGATCTGGCAGGTGGTGTCTGTTTGATCTGGCAGGTGGTGTCTGTTGGTTTGGTCTGGCGGGTGGTGTTGGTTTGGTTGTAGGAGGAGCTGAAGTTTAATTTCACTCAGCTGCCTTTAGTTAGCAGACTTCAGATTAGTTGTTGAATGTTCCAGTGGTGGTCCAGAAAATCTCAGGTGGGCTTGACGTTATGCTCCGCCCACTTCCCTTCATCCAGTTTTCGTATGTTTGAAGGACACAACGTTGTGAAGAGAAGTTAACCTAACTAATGAAGATCCTTCAGATCTCCTGTGAGGACACGTCAACGGCTGGCAGCAATAAAACAACGGGACCGTCTGGACATGAAGTCTTTACTTACTGTGAGCACGCACATCTGCACACATCTGCACACATCTGCACACATCTGCACACAGTCTTCATCTGAAGATGTGTGAAAACGCTCCGTGTTTTCCCAGCGCCACGCGTGTTGCGTAAAGCATGGCACCGAGGCCAGCAGCTGATCTCCACCAGTGACCTGCTGGTTACACTCTGAGCCGTCAGTACCAGCAGCTCTCACTGACCCGACACTGTGCAGCCGGTGGCCTCCAGCTCCTGCCTCACAAACAAACCAGTCCTCCGCTGACAGACGTCCTGAAGTCCGCCAGTAAATCTTCTGCATCAGTCGTTCCAACCATCACTGGTCGTAATCTCTTGTTGGTTGAACTCGACGCTGGTTTAACTTGGAGATTTTCTAGTTCGGCTGTGGGAGGATTTGAGTGTTTTTGTCTTCTTCTGTGGATCTGGTCTCATGGCTGCAGACGTCTAATGGTGGGGGCTCCTTCATCATATCAGACGTCTTCAGATGGAGCTCCTCATCGTCACATACACGTATTTAAAGCTCAGCTGCTATAAACAAACCTTCTGCTGGAGCGATTTGAAAGGAAAATCTCAGAGAAACCATCTGTCACAGCAATCCGCCTGGATTACACGCTTTGAGTTGCCGACAAAGAGCCGGAGACGTGGAGCCGTTTCTGCACAACCCTAATCCTTTTAGCACGTATCAGCCGAATTTTCAATAAAGACTGTGGGTTGTGCTGAGTTTGTTGTTCTCTGCTGGTGCTGGTTCAGCTGAGCGTCCTCGGCTCCTGGCCTGCAGCTTTCTCGTTGGGCTATCGAGGATGAACTTTTCAGCGCCGCTCTCTAATTCTTTAATTGGCTTTTCAATTCCAACAAACGAGCCTAATTGTCTCATCACGATCCTGTCCGGCTCGGCTCAGTAACCCGATAATTAGAAGAGAAATGACTCGACCTCTGCGACGAAATCTGAAGCTTCATTTGACCTTATTCTGTTTTGATTCTTCTTCAGCGTTACTTCCTCTAGAGCCTCCTCCAAAAGGCTGTATTTATTAGTTTTGGTTTCTTCCTGTTCTCTCGTCTCCTATCTTCTCCTAAACGTTGGACTCTGATCCCAAGTGTGGGTTTGAATCTGGACCTTTGCTCTTTTTGTTCAGAGGTAGTTTTCTCAGCTTGAGCGTCAGTAAATCCCTGCGTGGACTGAGCTCTGGTTTAACAGACTCTTCCTCCTCGGCTGTTGTGAACTCGACAACAGACCCTGATCTCTCTGAAACTCAAGGGTTCTGAATCCAGGTCTCACTGGAGGTTTTTGGCCTCGCAGAGGGGTGAAATACTCCGCAGGTGCGTGCCACAGGTGGCTGCAGTCAGAACTTGTTCTGCTCTAACAGCAGTTACAATAAAGGTCAGAGAGACGAGTGTTTATTTTTCAGCATGTAGGAGCAAACCAACAACGTCCTGGGTCCAAAGGAACCTTCCAGTGTTCACCAGTTTGGATGTAGCTGTGATCGAGCTGTTGTCCTCAGATAAATAGTGTTATTATTTTAATATAAGAATGTTTCTGTTCAGTGCCCTGAGATGATTCTGTTGTGACTTGGTGCTGTATAAATGAACTGAAGTGAATAATTTTACTGACACAAGTCGAGCACACATTTTCAGTTTGAAAGCAGGAATTCATCTTTGT